AATCAGGATGATTGAACGAATACTAAAGAGTAGGGGTGCACCAATTCCAATTCTAGACTTGGAATTGGTTGAAATCGGTGGCAATTGGCATCGATTAGCGGTAGGCATATCACAATTCCTATGCAGTATTCAACTATTCGTATTGAATAATATTCATATTACTATATCCCTAATTTTTCCACTGAAGAAGGAGATTTTTAAGAAAATAATGAGTTTTTATCAAGTCCGATCATCAGCAGACGGCATAAGTTTATTTAACTAGAAAATTAACTTCAAAGTTTTGAGAATCTGATTCCTCGGTCTCAATTACCTTCTGTTAATCCTTATAAAAAATCGCTGTTTTCTTAAAAAACCCCGTCTGTAGTGGAAAAATTAGGGATATAGCAATACGAATATCATTCAATACCAATAGCTGAACATTGCATTGGAATTGTGGCATGCCTACTGCTAATCGATGCCGATTGCAACTAATTCTAGGAAATGATGCACTCCTGGTTGTATTCTTGCATTGTATATTATTTGAAAATAGATTGAACTTATCCTCACTAATTCGGTTTGATATAGATGCAGTTTATGTTCAATCTTTACGCGAACATGAAGTATATAGAACAATTTATTAAGATAGCTCAAATCGATGAGTATGTTTCTGTAAAATAGCATCCATAAATTGTTCATGGACATTATTTTATGTTGCTTGTTATTTGTTGTTCTTATACGTTCGATATCTATGAAAATTCGCTATAAAATGAAAAGAAAAAATGAAAATGAAATTAAAATTGAAGTATCAACTGAAAAAGAATTTTTTTGTTGATTCTGTTATGATTGCCTTTTCTCAAAGAAAGGGTTATACCGCGGTAAATATGTTTAAATACGTTTATCCTTTCTTTGTTTTGCTTATCTAAATCAATCAGAAAACACCCATGGGAAAAATTTCGTTAATTTTAAATGCTGCGAAATGCGTTAATGCTGACCGGTTTTACGCGTTTCGCAGCTGCTAAATCGGTTAAAAACGCTGCGAGACGATATACTTTTCGTTTTCATCCGGAAATTGCGGCTCCGAAACGCGTTTTGAGTAAGTGGAGAAATGGGTTGTATACCTTTCTCGCCATTGGAAACGCTGGGAACGCGTTAAATCGGTCAGCATTAACGCGTTTCGCAGTAACTATATCCTAATTTTTTATCCCATGGGCAGAATGGACTAGACTCATACAGACAGCTTTCATTAGTCGTTAAAAACATTATCTTATTATTAATATTTACTCTGTAACATTTCTTGCATTAATATTTACAAAAATTTGACGAAATATGTTGAAGGATTCAGAAACCGAATTAAAAAATTCGCACCAATACATTTAATTTGTTTCTATAATTATTTCATTTGTTTTTGAAAAAGTGTTCTATGTTGCAAAAACATCTAAATACATTTGTCTGCATGCTTGTCAGTTTGTCAAAGGCATCAGAACACAATACTAGATAAAAGTGGCTATGCAATACAAATGGTATTACATCGTACTACTTTTCTTAATGGCTTAATGTAATAAAGGGTGCACAGGTTAAATCTGTCATTCAATAGGTGACTGCTTCGGAAATCGCATGATCACTTTTTGGCCATTTTAGACCTCATACACCTCAAATAAAATACGATTTTTTTCTCTCCTCTTTTTAGAAGTTAACATTGGCCGTACGTTCAATATCTGCTAGAATCTTATTACAAGCATTCTCTCTCGTTCAAAACACGCGTCAAGTCTTCTTATTCTGTGACCTATAAATACTTTCGTAGGTAGATTGTATAAGCGTCATCTCATATAAGTTGCTGTATTGTAGACATCTTGTAGAGAGAACATCTTTGCTTAGGGAGGTTCTGACAGCACTATATCTCAGAAATAACTTGATCGCCTCATACATCTTTATTTGTTCTAATCACAATGAAGTTTTCGATGCAAAATATGAAACCATTCCAAATTTTTTGATCTGTCAAACATATGTAAAAATTTATATTTAGGTGACTTCCACACTTCATCATCTTCCGTTTCGATATAGTAGAGATCTAAAATTTTTACTATGAGAAAAATCTCAACTAATTATTCTTCTGCGATGATAACCATAAAGACAGCTTCGCAAAACAAGTGTATATGTTACCACGTAGTCTTTTTTGCATAAGATTATTGGAAAGCGATCTGCAAATGAATTTGTTGCAATCTATTATATTGTGCTTATAAAGTAGCTGACAGATGTGACTTAATAAAAAAGCTATGATAATTTGTCATTGGCAATTATTTCCACCATAGTTGAGTTTTTAGATAATAATCTAGGAAAGTTTCTATACACCCAGTTACAGGACACAACGATAAATCATAATATTTTTTATCAGTTCTCATACATTACGTATAAAAGTAACGCATCAAGTTAGAACACAAATTTTTATTCTTTTTAATATTGTCTGCGACAATTGATCATTCATTAGCTTCCTGCATGAACTTGCCAGTCGCGTATTCTTCTCAATATTTATCACTTTGTAAAGGATTGATAGACCACTACCCATACCCAAAGCCTTGAAATATACAGAAAATAAGAGAACGCACCAATGCAAATTATTCAGATGAATGATTTCGTTGACTGGCTCCTGCCGCAAGCTCTCGGAAAATGATCGGATATCGAAAAAGAAACTCGATAAAGGTATTTGGCGATCCATTATGTCTTGGTTCTCTCCAAAAAATGCCAGAAACTGGTTGCCAGTTCCAAATATCATATTCCTGTTTCTAACACGACCAATTCATTATTTATGTCTGCATTAACATGTTCCGTCTCGTGGCTATCCATGATCGCCTTCAATCTTTAGCGTCTTTCCGTTTTGTACTTCACTGTAATCCTGAGTTAATAAGCCGACATCTACCTATCAAATGTATTGCACGAATTATGTACAGCACAATCATGCTGCAGACACCAGGTATGTGGCAACAACAAAATGTCTGGGATTTGTGATTCGGATGTTGAATACAGCTTTAGGATTTTAGGTTTTAGTCTTGTATTTCTACTAACAAATAAGTTTTATACTACTTGGAAAAAAGCATCAACTGATTAATTTTTGCTGTCAAAAAGCCACTTTGTGGAAATGATAGCATTTGCTAAAACGCGACTAGTACTTTCTTAACAACCGATTCAAATGTTTCAATTTACTATGGTATGTGCTGAAACCCAATAGAGAATATTCAATATCCCAAATCCATGAGTTTCAGGTTAGTTTGAGTGTTATTACATGCCTAGCAGAAACTTACTCTTTTACAAATCACTTTTTCAACTTCAAGAGTTGTATGTAACTGAAAATTGTCTACGTCGCGTTGTCTGTACGTTTCTAGATATGCTTTTAATGTGTGAATAATAAGTCTCAAACTGCATTAAGGTAGTCTCAGTAATCAGTTAGTGCGAAAATATATGATTTAAGAGAGAACACGCATACAAACGATGTAGTGATCATTGCAGCAGTATTTATAACAAGGCATAATGATCCGTTTTTTTCAAAGCAAAGAAGCCAAGTAATAATAACATGTCTTTATTGACAAAACACTTTTTCTGATATTCGATACTCTTGAGACAGGATTTTTTGGTCCTAATCGAACATACGAAATGTTTCGTCAACATCGATGTACGAGATAATATGCATCGTTGCAAAAACTTGTCGCGTATCACGTAGTTACTAACGAGACTATTTCATGAAATACTTTGACACGTTTTTAAAATCATATTTGATTTCTGTTTATATGTCCTTATTGGAGATTTTTTTAGGCTTTTTCTTTAATTTCATCAAGTATCAGAACTGGAGGACGTGTCTGTTTGACTATATTTCGAGTAATGTTCACCATAGTGTATTGTTATGTCAATTTATTTAAGTAGATACCTCAGATCGATCTGAGGAATAGCCAATTATTCTATCATGTTTAGAACAAAAAGTAGACATTGACTTGATTTGAGTTCTTCCTGACTCTCGTGTTATTGGCCAAGCAACTGATTTAAACTTTCTACGACGTCGCATCGAGCCAGATCGATCACTGACTGACATGTGTCCGATCTATCACCAAAAGACCACTCTTTGCTGCATTTCAAAGTTTCTAAGTTTTCTTTTGCATACTGAAACATGAAACTGATGCTTGAACATTTACTACAGCTTATCGCTGCGTCAATTTAATACTGTTAAATATATCATCGGATAGTTTGCTGTTATCTAAACTTTTAAAATCGGTTTCGTCACACTCTTGTTTGTAACTAAAAAGCACATCAACTTTTTGTTATTGAAGAATTTATTTAAGTATAGTTTTCGACTAGTGAATTGACAATATATTTGATATTCTCAAGATCAACTAAGAAGTTGTCTAATAAATTATTGACTATCTCGTTTCAACATATACTTCTATTCTTCGTATATTTTGTGCTTTATGTTGATATTATGTCTAGATTAGTAAGAGAACTTCAATGATCTTTTTGTAATTTCACAGTCGTGACATTTTCTATTCATCATAGAATTCATTTCTTTGTTCATTGTTCGATCGAAGACTCGAATAATTCTGATAGTTGAATCAAGGGTAGCGGTCTAAAATGTCCCTGAAAAAATGTCCTGTCAAGAATGTCCCTGAAATTTCGTCCTTGAAAAAATGTCCTTCGTACATAATGTCCCTTGTAAAAAATGTCCCCGAAAAATGGTCCTTAGAAATATTGTCCTCCGAAAAACTGTCCCCCCATGAAAATGTCCCTGTTCAAAATGTCCTTCGTTAAAACGTCCCTTGATGTAATAATGTCGCTTATCTTTAGTTTTTGTTGTACAATAGAATGTTAGTGAAACATTGATGACGCCTTAAAGAAAGAAATATATCAATGTATATATTCTTTATTCCTTGTAGTGGATTCGACTAGTCCATAAAGAATTCAATAAGAACGAGAGAATATTTACATAAATAACACTTGTTGTTTTAACATATCTTTTGTGTGTCTATAACAAAGTACTTTTAATGGAATCTAAGAAATTGGCAGTAATTCATGAAACTCAGTGTTTATTGCCATCTCAATCACCTGAACAGTCATTTTTACTACCAAGTCTAGTTAAACCAACAATTACAAAACCGCCCTCAAATAAAGGAAAACTTATGTTAATTGTTAATGGGTATAGTTTCCAATTAAAAAATTTCAATAGAAATAAAACAGTGAAATTCTGGCGATGTACAAACAAAAGTTGTAATGTTATTATGCATACAAATCTTGATGATGAATTCATACAGTTTTCTGCAACAATTAGTGATCATTGCCATTTACCAGATCCGGCTGATTATGAAGTACGAGATTTGAAAAGATCAATGAAAAAACGAGCTGCAACTGAATTGGTATCAGTAAAACAAATTGCCGAGCAAGAAATGCGCAAAGCTTTGTTAACCGGTGAAGCTCTTGCTGCTTTACCTGGTACTAATGCTATTGGCATGATACTAGTATTTTTATGTAACCTTAATATCTCGATCCTTTTTTTTTGTCTACGTTAGGTCATGCATTAAAGCATCATCGACGTAAAAGGATCCCTCCACTTCCAAAGTCATCTTCGTTTCTTATTCCAGATTTATACACAAGAGATTACAACAATATCGAACGATTTTTGCTACATGACAGTGATGATTCCAAACTAGAAGTCAATGAATTAGGAAGTGTACGATCACCAGGGAGAATTTTAGTTTGGGCATCTGATATTCAATTAAAATTATTATTTAATAGTGAAAAATTATATATGGATGGAACATTTGCTACGTCTCCGCCGGACTTCGATCAAGTTTTTATTATTCAATCTATTTTACATGGTACATGTAAGTTGTGTATAATAATATAATATATTCTTCATATTCATCTCTTTCATTTTCTGATATTTAAATTCAACTAGGTGTGCCGGTGGTCTATGCACTTCTTCCCGACCGTAAAGCTGCTACATACATTCATTTATTTAATATATTATTTGTTGCAGCAAAAACGTTTAATAAAAGACTTGAACCATCGCTCATCATGACAGATTTTGAGCCAGGTTTAGAAAAAGTAATCAGACTCGAAGTATATTTGTCTTCAAAATCATCAAAAACCTCCTGATTGAAATAAACATTTATTTTACTTTATAGTTCACCGAAAAAACAGTACAAAAAAGATGCTTTTTTCACTTTACTCAGAGCATCTATCGTCATGTACAATCACTCGGCTTATCATCTGTTTACTTGAATAATATTATGTTTCGCAGTGTCATTAGACAATTGATGGCACTAGCTCTGGTTCCTGAAGAATTTGTTCCATTATTATTTTCTAATCTGGCTCAGGAACTTGACGATTCAGAACGTGATGAATTATCTGCTATTTTCAAATACTTTGCTGACTATTGGATGTGCCCAATGCCAATGTGGAATGTTTATAAGATTTCTGATCGAACAAATAATTTCTGTGAGGGTATGCGACAAAAATATAGTAGTTTCACGTTGTAACAATGATTCACATATAATTATTTTTTTTTATAGGATATAACAATCGATTCACAACACGTTTAAATAAAAAACATCCGAACATATGGATATTTATTAATGCCATTCAAAAAGAAATACAGACTGTTCATCACCTAATTTTTCAAATCAATTGTGGTATGAAACCACGTACAAAACGACCCAAGTCTAAAATTGCTGATCAACGTATGAAAGAGTTATATGAACGATTTGACAAGAAGCAAATTGATCCACAAGAATTATTGAAAGAACTTTCATTTTTTGTCGCAAGTGGCAAATAAATGAGAATTTAATTTTTTTTATAGATTATATGATGCGATTGATTTTATGATTAACTCTAGTTCATGTTTTAGCAAAAGAAATCTATAAAAAAAAAAGACATTTCTTCGGAGGACAATATCTCTAAGTACCATTTTTCAGGGACATTTTTTACAAGGGACATTTTCAAAGTGGACATTTTTCATGGGGAACATTTTTTCAAGGACAAAATTTCGGGGACATTTTTTTCTAAGGACCAAATTTCAGGGACATTTTTGAAAGGACATTTTTGACCGTATTCAAAGAGACGATATCAAGGCATATTTTTTCTAATATTGTGTAAGAATAAATGATTTTAAAGTCAATCATTTCTGCAAAATATTCATAAAAACAGTCTATCGTTTTGATGAAACTTTCATTCTGATATATGATTTAGATAGAGAGATCTCAAGTCTATAGTTTAAAACATTATTTAAAATCATCGTCTTCGTGCATCATAATGTTAAATAAATTAAATTCTCTATTTACTCTTTCGAAAAGTATGAATTTCTCTTAGTTTTTAAGCAAATTTTGTTAGTTCTTATCAAAATTTTATACGAACGACGTATAAGTTTTGTACATTTTTTCGGTGTTTCGTCACAACATATGATTTTAAAATGATTTTGTCTTATACAATAGTAGAGAAGAAAGATTCTTTGACCGTTTCTTTGTCGAATTGTGAAAACCGAAGCTCTCTGCCTCTTTTCTTCCTTGAGTTATTCCAAAAATGGTCACGAGTATTGTTTTTTTTAACAGATAGTAGCTGTGCTGTTTGACATAAAATGAATCATTTATTTCATTGAAAATTATTTTCTGTACAATATTGCAATTTAAAATCTAGATAAAAAGATATTTGATAAAACTAAGTTGATTGATCAAATACTGTAATAATTTTCATATATTGTTAAATAACATGCAATAATATTTTAAAATTGATTTAAATGATTTGTAAAAGTCGATTTCGATTTAAAAATGAGTAGATTGTAAGTAAAATAAGAGTTTTAAAAAAAACTAAATGATGCTAAACAATTAAATAAATGAAAACCAGTCATCCCTAATAGCCAAAATTCGTTGAAATATAGATTGATTAAAAAACAGTTGATTTCCTTTATAAACTCGATGAAGAATATCTGTTTGTTTAAAATGATTTGATTTAAATAATTGAATAGCATGTGGATTTGTTTCAGGTACTGATAAGAGCATAATGCCATCATAATGATAAGCACAACATTTTAATAATAAAAGTGCTATAGATATATTATCAGCATATAATGGTCCACATTTAATAAATAATCTACTAAAATTTAAAATAATATAACCTTTTATTAAATTTGTCTTTTTTGAACGTGCAACATATCCAGCTATTGAACTAATATTTCCACGCAATTTTTCAAAAAATTTAATATGATTTATTGGATATATACTGTTATCATAGATAGCTATATGATTTATATTAGATGATTCATATAAATCAATAATTATATCATCATCAATTGAGATATTTATATTATTTATTTGATTAAGTCTTCCAATAGAACCAATTAAAGAAAATGATCTTTTAAAACCATAACGAATATAAAAAGGTATATGTTCAATTAATATATTAGCATGAATTGTATTTATTTCTTTTGATTTAATATTAAATAAATAATTTGTTAAAAATTCTCCAAAACCAAACTTTCTATAATCACATCGAATATAAACAAGACCTATCATGATTATTTCTTCATCATTTAAGTAAGATTGTTGTATAGATGCATGTTCTATTATTGATTGTTTACATTTAATTATATAAGATATACTTGGTTTAAATGAATTAAAATACATTGAATAATCAATTGATGCACGTTTTCAATATTGAACAATTATTTAATAATAATTTTACATCATACATATCAGAAGATGAGACTGGTACTATTAATAAATTAAAATTGATTCTTTTTTTTCATTTCTATTTATACAAAAAAGCCATTTTTCTTCGTTCAATTAGCATTTGAAATTCAAATATAATTTAACATACTCAATCTTCTCTTGTTTACTATACTAATTAGAATAAGACTAAAATTCTTATTGCTTATAAGGTTTTTTTTTATTGAAAAATCAATATATAGTATTTATTTTACTAGTAAGATGTTAAACATGAACAGATATTTTTGAATATGACTTTTAGACTTATTGAATTTTTGTAAATGTTGATCGATTATCCCAACGTGTCTTGCCATTAATCTAGTGTAATTTAATAGGCGTTCTGTATTTACTATGGCAATCATGATATGAAAACTTTTATCTTACAAAATATGGAATCTTTTTATCCAATGGACATCAAGTATGCGGTACACGTCGCTGGTCCCTTCATAATTAGTATTAAGAGGGTTACTCTACTTACTTTATTCTTTGATAAAGCAATTATTGTAAATTTAATCGATACATGATAGATTATTGCTCAAAGTGTACTTTTACAACTGAAACTGGCAACATCACAGTGTCATTGTCAACAGACTAATTCAACTTAACTTCACTTGCGTGCTACCGATGCTCTTTTTTCTTTATAAACTTGGATGAAGCCAACTTCTGATAGTTAATAAACGGTGCCATTCATCGATTGTTTATCTTCCCTTCTTTCTGCAGAGAAAATGAAAACAAACATTAGAGTTCGATTGACTTGAAAGTCCTTAGCTATCGGTTTGATCGAGCTTCACCGAAAAAGATAGATTGGATGTGAGTATGGTTCTTTCGATCATCCACACCCGATGGATACTATACAACTAACAAACAATCTCGATAAAAATTCAATCTGTTGTTTTTTGGTAACGAAAATGAAGTATCTGACTTAAGTTTATCCAAACATGCCATTGACATTGTGTTTATGAAGACAGATTTCTTCACTATCATTTTACTTTAACTTGCAAAAATTTGTTTTAAAATGAGGTAACACTTTAATTAGCAACACAAACTACATTGTATTTCAAGTTTTGTTTTCGAGGAGTTTGTACTAAATATCTGTTTTCTTAAAAGCTTCAAATTGTTCTTTAATCAAAAGTGCATCGATCAATCTCTTTATAAAGCTGTACTTAAATTGCGTTGTTCTTTATATTAGAAAAATATCAATAACAATCTAATTCAATACAGTAATGACATTTGTATTTCCAACAAAAGAACTAAATTAATTGTAGATCAGTTTTGATGAAAAAGTGATTATTATTTTAATTTGAAAACATTCAAAAAATTACATGAAAAATAAGTTTGGAATATAAGAAAGGTCCTTAGTTTTTAATAGAAAGATCATATAGAAACCAAGGAAAATCAGTATAGAAATTGTGCGTAACATTGGCTTTGAGTTGATTAAAATAAATTGATGATTGAAATTTTCGAGCTACTTGTTTATCATAATCTGATTCATAGTTTCGTGTCGACCAATGTAAAGTAAGAGAAATATGTTGCAATTTCTTGTTGGAAAGAAGTATATCTGTCCACCAATCTACATCAAGTAAATTTCTCCCTTCTACACAGACAGTATCAAGAAAAAGTCTGAATAGATTAAGACAACATGACAATAAATGTTTAAGAAAATTTTCCCACCAATTAAAATCATCATAAGAAGACCATTTTAAATTCAACGCAGTCATAGCTATGAGAGTTGTACTGATTGGAACGAGTTCAATATTCGAATTCTCCGTGACATCAGCTTTCCTAAATTGAGTCATGTCTGAAGAATTCATTGATGATTGAGACGTTGAATGCGAAAAAATTTCACTATGATAAATTTCAGCTGAGAAAGAACAAAGTTGACGACATTGATTCAAGAGCTGAACAGTCAAGTAATGATCAAGTTTGTCTACCTGCACATAGAGAAGAGATGGAAAACGAAACGTAAACTCGTTATCCATGATTTCTGCTTCCATATGATATCCATTTATATATAATCGTTGAAGCAAAGGAAAGGGTTGACAAAAAACACTGTGTACAAGCCTTTCTTTTAGTTTTAATTCTGCACTATCAGTATCAAGATTAATAATGAGTGAATTAAGAGCCGAGAATGAGGAGAAATGCTTAACAATATTACATTCATTTGTATCCAAAAACGTGAATGTCAACCTGAGATGTTGAACTTGTTTGAATCGTTCCAATAGATGATCCTAAAAAAAATAACCGTTTTAAGAAAAAATATTCGTTTTTAGATAAATATGAAAACGAAAAGTTCTACTGAAGTCAATTTTTTGTTTCGTTCCTCACTGAAAATAAAAATAAAAACATTAAATGTACCTGAAAAAATTTGTGAATAAAATTCGAATGACTGATCGAGTTAGAAAGTGAAAGTGATGTCAATTTTTTGGACAAAAGTAATCGATTAATACGTTTATTTAAGCCATAAAATGTGAGAAAAAGATTTATTGAATCGAAATAATCGAATATTTGAAGCCATAATTCGTTTGATAGATCTTCAATGTACGATGTATTTTCATTAGACATATTTTTGTTGTTATGCTTTTCGTTATCTAAATTGAAATTTGGATGTTCGAGTATACTTTTTGGATCTCTTTTCGTCAGAAACTTAACAAGAATTCCGTATGGACGAACGTACGCTGGATCATTGATAATATAATAACGATATCTTGAACATTCTGGTATTCGAATCTTCAAGGAATGAACTTGACACTGTAATGCCACTTGTATAAAGCAATGTTTATTATATTTTATTGGTTCAATTAGTCTACAGTCTGCCATATATTCAAGATTTGATGTTAAAAGTATACCCTTTCTACATGTGCTTTGATTAAAGAATGGTGCATTAGGTCCGACATCTTTGAAGTTTGCGAAGCGCTCATTATCAACGTTACAACCGATTTTTAAGCGCTTTTGAGCTGTGGCTCGTAAGGATTGTAGTGTATCGCGTGTAAATCCATGAAACCCAACAATCCATTCATCTGAAGAATCTTCAGAGTTTATCTGTGTAGAATCACTCAAACTATAACATATCCAACCTTTGAATGGTGTATAATAATCCCAATTACTGCAAGTTAACTTTACTGGTTTCACGTTAGAATACCGAATAATACCTTTACTGTTTAACAAAGTTGATGGAATTTCAAAAAAACTCAGTGGATCAAATTGTTCAATAACGCGGTCTAGGTTACTTTCATTCCAAGAATTCCAGGAAATGAATGACATTCTAAATGAACATTCAGAAAATAAATATGTGAGTCGGTGAATTACATCTCTTTAGGAACCTAGGCCTATGATGTCCTTCCAGTTGGCTATGGGTAATGCCTGGAGATAAATAAAACTAAAAGTCACAGTCTCATCCTCACCATGAGTCTCTCAATATACTTCATATCAGTCGTCACTTTCTTTCTTTCGGTTACCTCATGTCTTTGATTTCTCTTCTTATTCAAAGGTAAATACTAAAAAAAAAGAATTAAATATTTTATCTCAGACTTCATATTATTTTTGGTAGTTTTTCTTCGGCTTCTTTTTCGTTTTTCTTGATAAACAGTCCTTTTTTTTATCTCAATTTTTT